CAATCCTAAACGGCCGTTAATAATGGGTGTGATTAATACGGCGATGTCAACATCATCCCCAAATTTAACGAATTACTACTTACAAAAAATTGGGAAAATTGGTATCTTGAGAGATACGACGCCAAGGAAAGGGTTAATGGATAATACCGTTTTCACTACTTAACAACAAATAATTTTAACGGATATCTCGACATGTTTTTCTCTATATCGCTTCCACTAGATATTTTACATGTTTTTCTCCCAAACTTTGAATCGCCATATATTTTTTGTTTTTTAATTAGTTTAAGATAAATTTGGTATGTTTTCCAAAATCAATAAAAGTTGGTTAAATACAAAAATATTTTTTTACTGTTTTTCGATTAAATGGTAATAAACTTTTAAATTGCAATCAGAAAAAAAAAACAATTCGAAACCAGAGTTTAACCAAATCGACTGTTGAAAAATCCTACATTTACTTCGTTTCAAAAAGATTCTTGATCCGCTGAACAGAAATCTCACAAAGGGAACTATCCTTTCGACAGAAACCAAATTTACGGTTTGAAAACAAAACGCTTTTGAAGTGAATTTCTTTGTTAACCTTGTCTGTTTTAAAATTCGACAAAGTAATTGGAATTTATAAGGCCACCAATTTATACCAGAGGATGTCTATTGAAAAATTAAAGATAAACAGAATTACATCTAAAATTTTAGAGCATAAAATAAATGTCCATTGTATACCATAATAGGTAAAACATGATGTGAATTCAAATAGAATTCATAAAAATAACATTTTGATAAATTGTTTCTCATGCCCCTCCTCCTACGGAGGCATATAAATATAACGGATGCATCAGGAAATCGTTTTCTTAATGTGATTAATTCTTCTATATATACAATGTGTCTGTAAAAAGTCTTTACAAAAACATACCACATATTCTTTAGACCAAAATAAGTCGATTTAAGTAAAATTACCTTAGTATAAAGTTGCTTCGTTTGGGCTCCAGAGGGCTTTGAAGTTACAATTTTTAAATCGTTTTTCCCATATAAATTTAAAACGGCATATGCGATTTTGCTGAAATTTGGTATATTGGTAGAGTTTTATGTGGCAAAAAATGGTATTACAATTTTGTTCGATAATAATACATAGGCGTAGAACTTAATTTTTTAAATAATTGCACCTTTAAAAATTCTACGCCAATGGAAGAAAAGGAGTTTGAGTATAAAATTAAGATTGCGCAACTCATTTACTTTAAAAAAGGTACTCTTGATAAGACTCGATTACTCTCATGGTTTTGACGAAATTTGCATTTTTGTAATTTTAGAACATAAACAATAATTGTTAAAATACAAACTTTTTCAAAACCATGAGAGTAAATCGAGTGTTATCAAAGGTACTTTTTTGTAGAAAATGAGTACCCAATCCAAATTTCATACTCAAACCCCTTTTTTGCCATTGGCGTAGAATTTTTAAAGGTGCAATTATTTAAAAAATCAAGTTCTACGCCTATGTATCATTATCGGACAAAATTTTATACGATGAAAAACATAAAAATGTACTTTTTTCATATCTTCTTCAACACCTCTAATCGAGACTTTTAACAAAAATACTCGATTCTCATTTTTTGAGGAATATTAATTATTTGCCTGCAATACGTATACAAAAACATTTATTGTTGGTTTCCATAGTTCCATCTAAATAAAAATATTGTCAAGTTTTAACACCTAATCTCTTGTTAACGATTAAAAGTGTTCTATCTGACTCAATAATTAAAAAAACAAATGCGTGGTTTATTAATATGGCTGTAAAATATACCAATGCAGAATATACCGATATGTTACTGACATTATGATTTTGTGAAGGAAATGCTCGAGAGAGTGTCAGGGTGTACTCTGAAAGGTTTCCAAATCGTCGTGTACCTAGCCACCCAACTTTTGCTGCTGTTGAGAGACGTCTTCGGGAGACCGGTTTCTTTGCTTTTAACACTGTTCATAATTGAAGAGAACGTTTTGTAAGGATTCCTGAAGTTGAAGAAGACATTTTAGAACGTGTTGAAGAAGATCCAGAATTAAGCAGCAGACGAATTGGAAGGGAACTAGGAGTAAGTTAAGATGTCGTTCATAAAGTGCTTAGAGAACAATTGCTATATCCATACCATAAGAAGCCAGAACAAGAATTATTAGTCCATGATCCTCAAATTCGTTTGGGTTTTTGTCGATTTGTTAATTTGCAAAGAGAAAGAGATCCAAACTTTGTCAAGAAGGTTCTCTTTACCGATGAAGCGGGTTTTACAAGAAAAGGTATAACTAATACCCATAATGAACATGTTTACGCCGTTAAAAATCCGCATTTAATAAAGGTAAACCATTTTCAGCACGAATTCAAAATTAGTGTGTGGGCTGGAATAATTGGAAATTTCATTGTTGGTCCTGCCATACTTCTACGAAGATTGACTAGAGAAAATTATTTGGATTTTCTACAAAATACGTTGCAGAATTGTTAGAAGATTTACCTCTCCAACTTCGGAGAGATATTTGTTTTTTGCAAGATGTAGCTCCACCCCATTTTCCTTTAAACGTTAGAAACCACTTGAATGAACAATATTCACACAAATGGATAGGCAGAGGTAATGACGCACCTGTAAACTGGCCAACACGTTCCCCAGACCTAACACCGATGGATTACTTTTTATGGGGACATCTGAAATCCACAGTTTACAGGGAACCTATAGAAAATGAGGAACAACTCTGGAAACGTATTCAAGATGCAATAAACAATCTTAGAGGTGATGAAGAAGTTATCGAAAGGATACATTTTAATTTTCTTCGACGTATAATTCTTTGTATGCGTGAAAATGGTAAACATTTTGAACAATTTTTGTGAAATCTCTATTTTGATTATGTTGTAAATAAATATTTTTGTGAAACCTATACACTCTAAATTATTAAAACAGAAATTTAGCGAAAACCATGAGAGTAATCGAGTCTTATCAAGAGTACCTTTTTTAAAGTAAATGAGTTGCGCAATCTAAATTTCATACTCAAACTCCTTTTCTTCCATTGGCGTAGAATTTTTAAAGCGGCAATTATTTAAAAAATCAAGTTCTACGTTTATGTATTATTATCGGACAAAATTTTAATACCATTTTTTTGCCACATAAAACTCTACCAATATATAAAAATTCATCTAAATCGCATATGCCGTTTTAAATTTATATGGGAAAAACGATTTAAAAATTGTAACTTATTTAGGTGTAAGGAATATGTGGTGTGTTTTTGTAGACCTTTTACAGATTCTTTTAACACATTTACGATGACTGGTAATACTGGTATACTTTCCAGGAAAGAATTATTTTTATTTCTGTAGATATATCATTTATTTTTATAAATAAATAAAATTTTGTTTCTAGTGAACCACGGGTGGTACACAACGCCCCTAGGTAATATTTATTTGATGACGTCGCGGTACACCACCGGCACTTGTGGACATGAAGAAAATAAAGTAATTTTAAGTTTTTGTTACAGATTTACTAAATAAATTAACATGATCCCTGAAAGCAATTAAGCTTCTTTAACACAAACCGCTTGGGAATCTAATTTGATTTTTAATTTGTACCAAAACAGACTCCGCGGGAATTGCTGTTCAACCAAGTTTGGTCTAAGATATACCGCAAAACAATTAAGCTTCCTCATTGGTAGATTACACAAAAACTATTCCTGAATCTAGTGAATTCACGGTTTTCTCCAAAAACAATCACACTTCCTTACCGGCAGAATCAGCAATACCAAAACTTGATATTCAAAATATCTCAGTCCCAAGAAAAATACAAGATCCTGTGACTTCTTTTGTCGGCCCGTCTACATTATCGACAAATAAGGTATCCCAAACTTGAAAACAGTATTATTGGTCACCTTCAAATATTCGAAACTGATTCAAGACTCGTTCGTATGTGTTCTCTAAAAACGAAGATGAAAGTGATATCCCTTCTTTCACAGTAGAGTCTCAAGAACTAGAACTTTTGTGTGATGAAAAAGATAACATTACCAATGCCACGAACATACCAGAGAATAAATGGAGTCCCCTTGCATGTTGAGAATCCATGTAAAATTTATAAAGAGTTTCTAACTAATAACATCTTCGATATTTTTTTTTAGAAACCAATCGATATGCGTCAAAATATTAATAGACCCATAAAATGAACTGATACCAATCGAAAAGAAATTAAAAACTGTTTTACTATTGTTAAACATTTGCGGCAAGTGCGTTTGTGTTGGACTAGCTAGTAATAAATTTATTCAAACCAACAAGAACAGAGATTAATTTAAGAGCATTCTTAATTTTATCCACTTTTCCAATAACGAGGTTTCTCAAGCAGAACAAGTCAAATTATTTAAAAAAAAACATCATACGGTTATTATGTCAACAGTTTCATGAAACCCTTCTTTCTGGCGAAAATGTCGTAATAGATGTGACCATGGTGCCTTGGCAGCGGTAACTAGCTTTTCGCCAGTTTCTTCAGGCAAAATTACACAAATATTGCATAAATGCTCTGATAGGCTCTCCATTCCATATTAATTAACATAGATACTTACTGTTTTTTTACAATTTCAAGTTGCCTAAAACACTTTCCCCAAATTTGTTATTTCCTCTTGTGCTATTATATAATTACTAGCCAACGTAAGGCTTTTGAAAAAATATATAGAGGTTATTATATAAAATTAATATAACTTCAATATTAAAAAATCTTATTAATATATTTAATACTTGTTAAATTCCAAATTATAATATTAACCCAAAACGCATATATTTAAAGAGTTCGTCATGTTGATATTTTTATTTAAAAAAAGTAGTAATACTCTAACATATTAAGTAGTTTGATAATTATCCAACCTAGAATTTTGTATACACACAAATATGCAAATAAATGTCTATTACAATGATGAACATATCATCATGAGTTATACATTTTAATTTAAAAAAATTTTGATCAATATTTCAATAAATAATTCTATTACATAATAAATCAATGTCTCCTAACCCAGGAATCGCTCATAGCATTGTAGACATATGATCGCCATTGCCCATTCATCATTATAGAAAAGGAATTCTTGCTATTGCTCTCTAGAAGATTATTTCCACCAAATCTATTATTTAAAGGCTGACTTGAACCGCTATTTTGAGGGTTTGTGGAATCTGATTTGGAACCAAAACCGTTTGCCCTGGATGGTCTTGTGAAGGCAGAATTTTGATCGAAACCATCATTCTGTGATGATCCAGTATTAAAGGTAACTGGTCTTCCATTTTGATTTAAACCACTATTTAAAGAAGAACCAGGGTTAGATGTCGACGAACCAGAATTAGATGTCGAAGAAACACCTGGTCTTCCTCTGTTTTTTTCAATAATTTCGTAATTGGTCAACCAGAATGGTCTGTTTTCTTTAGGCCATTCGTTTAACCTGTCTATAAGTTTGGTATCACCTCTAGCATCTACTGGTATATAAGCACTGTTACCACTGTTGCCGTTAAAATCTCCTGATCTATCTCCTAGGTTTGGTATTGAAGAAGATGCAGATCCATCATTAGTTTCTTTGAATCTGGGATGTAACTGGGGTATACCTTTTGGACCTGAACCGGCATATGATCCTCTTTGAGCTACGGTGGATGCGACGATGCAAGCAAATACCATGAAGAGTTTCTGCAAAAATAAGAAGCATTTATTTAATTGGATAAAGTAAAATTTTTTAATTAAGAAAATTGGTCTATAAGTTAAGCATAATCTAAATTTAATATCAGCAAAAGTTGCATATTGTACGTTAAAATACGCTGGTAAGAAGAACACTGAAGACTTCTTAAATTAATACTCAGTTTCATTCAAAGTTTAATTTTCTCTTGTGATAAATGGTTTTATTAGTTTTATATGTTCAAATGTTATTTGAATTTGCTATAGCTTTTGATTTTTCTTATAATAAATTTTTCTGTAGTTCTATATGTTTAAATGTTAATTTAATTATGCTATAATCTTTAATTTTATAATGTAATAATAATCGCTTTAATTAGTTTTGATAGCCTAGATGTTAATTTACTTTTGTAATAAATAAACTGTTTTTGTAATTTTACATTTTGTTAATTTTTTATTGCCCACTTAATGTAGATAAGAATGATTCGACAAAAGGGCAAGTAATAAATTTCTGTTCTCATTTGGTCTCATTTATGTTCTATCTTTAATCTTCCCTTTCTAAAGCTAGACCTACAGGAATGAATTTCAATAAAAAATCCCATGACAACCAAAGAACGTTCTCATTTTGAGTTGCGCCAACTGTATTATACAGCTTGAATTATTTACAACATTCGAATTCTTTTTGTTTGTTATTAAGACTCACTACTGTAAAAGGGATAGTAATACATGTGAAAGCTTTAAAAAAAATTACAGTTATATAAGGGTAGATAATATTAGTTTTGAAAATGACATGAGAAAAAATGCTACTAACTTAAGAAAATGCAGATTAGATTGACATAATGTAGGAGATAATTTTTAATAAACTATAACAGAGATTTTAAAAATCCATTACAAAAACCAATTACCTAAAAACTTTTAAAACTTATAAAACAGAGAAACAGAGAAACAGCTGATGATGTGTAAAACGTAAAAAAAGGAAGTTTTTAATGTAATTGATTATTCTTAAGAGGAGTATTTACTTGCGGTAGTACCTAACTTTCAAAGTTTATTTCCATCTTTTTCTAAAAGAAAAAAATTATTTGCAAGAAAAAGTTTTTAAATATGAACTTTTTATTGATTCCGAATTTGATTATCTTGCTGCCCGTCCGGATGGTATTTAAAACCAAATAACAAAACTCTATGATAAAGTTAAAATGTCCATATGGGAAAGAAGGAATATGGAGCAGAAAAATTATTTTTTGAAAACAGGACAGTACCATTAAGGAGAACCACAATTAGTGTTTTCAAATACAGGGCTAGCTGCACATAACGCAAATGGATTTTTGCACTTTGTGCATTTGGACTTCTAGAGGAATATAAGTGAAGAAAATTCCTCGAAATGACAGCTTTTGGAGAAAAAAGTTGCAAAATAGAATTAAAATTTTTTATATTCAATATGCCTTACCGGAACCTGTTGAAAGCAGAGCTAAGAGCTGATAAAAGCATGAAAGTACGGGACAGAATATCATATAAATGGTGGGAAATTTTGTTTAATTTTTATTATCATGACGCAAGGCATATGTTCATTAATTTAAGAGTGTTACATTTTATTTATACATGGTAGTAAGCGATTCATTTATGATATGGTTAATGTCTTATTATTATACGATTTTCCTAAGTTTTAGATTTTACCATTGGCAGTGGCACCTGATGATGTAGGTATAATTAATATATCAAATATTTTGAATGAATAATAATAATAAAAATAATAATGTTTATTAGTAAGAACAGTAATTTGTACCACAAAGCCGGAGGGCTGTCCGTGGTATAAGTTAGAACGTAATAATTATTACTGTGTATTGTCTTAATATTATTTATGATTCAAGATACTTTAAAACTTATATTTATATTGTTATCACACAAATTAACAGTAATATTATTTTTACAACTTATTTTCTATATAATAGAATACAATAATATAAATAATAAATATGAAATCAACAATTATTTGATAAATAATGTAAAATAACATAATAGTAAAATAACATAATAGGGAAATAATACAATAGGAAAATAACATATTAGTTAACAAATTTAAAAAAGTGGGAATGAACTAATGGACCACGTTTTTGAGTTCCCAAATGATAAAATCAAAATTTTAATTCGGATTAGAAATTTTGCTTTAGAGGATTTGGTGTTAAAGTCGAGCCACGTATTGATATTGTAAACTATTACATCAATAGAAATGAAAAATTCACATATGAGTTTTTGTAACGTAATTTTTAAAAACTTCATACGGTCAAAAATTTTAGCTAACTTGTTTAATTTTAAATATAAATTGAATTTTATTTTAACTTAGAAATTTTTGAAAAGTTCACTATATTGTTTAGTTGTTGCAACTTTACTGCACTTGAGTACCGTTAAGATTAAAATATGACTTGATTTATGGAGCTAAACTAAAAAACAGGAACTAATGCTTTCACTTCAAGAAAAGTATTTCGAACTGTGATATCTTTAAGCTCTTATTTAAAATCTTTAAATACTAATATTATCATCATACAAGAGTTATCTGTACAAATTGTTACAAATACCGAACATAAGTTTGTTGACATAAACATTATTTTCATAATACCAATAAATCTATTTCTCTTTAACATGTTTTTGTTTTTTGTTTAAATGATATTGAATACTAACTTTTTCTATATAACTTTTTATAACCGATATTGTGAAACAAAAAAAATATTATCTAACACTTTTGTTGTCAATTTATTTGTATTTTTTGCCCAAACGGATAATTTTTTTAACTATGCAATTTATAACTCGGCTGCTAAAAGCCAGTGTACCAATTCGGGTTTATTTATAAATTCATTCCTGAAGCTGTACATAGATGGTTCATTAAAACAGTATAAATTTTATGTTTTTTAATATGCTGAAACATTCTATCTTATAATCGTTACATCTTATAAAACCAAAGGTCGTTTTCATTGAACCAACTCACACATGCGGCTACCTCAAGTTTAAATATTATAAATTCACTTGAATATAGAAAAATATTTTTTAAAAACCTAGTTAATTTAAAAATTTAAAATGTCACGAGACCGATTATGGTTCGTTTACATTGGCCTCCTGTAGTAACTGATTTGGCGCGCCATATCGACAGCATCAGTGGTACAGAAGCAAAGGCATTGAAAGACTATCTGGACGCTTTTCAATTCTCACGACAAACAATTATTGTAAAATACATATTATTTTGCGCTATTGGGGAATATTTTTTGATTCTTGTCTAAACTAGGCGCGTAAAGCACTCGCGTATCGGGGACAACACTAATCATTAGTAATTGCTGTGGTGGGAGGTGTTTGTGTGAATACTTCTTGTTTGTTTTCAATTACGCCGTGACTAGCAGTAGTATTTAATAAACCTTAGAAGCAAATTTCACATACATGTATAAATAATAATAATGGCGTGACAAAAAGAAGACGAAGCAACGACTTCTCGTAAAATTTCAACCCATACCTGGCTACGCCGATCAGCATAAACACCAACGGCCTAGACACAGCTCATCTACTCCGTCAAAAGGAGACCGATGTACAAATAAAACGCGTACAACATTCGCACTACAAATGATTAGTGTTGTCCGCGATACGCGAGTCGTAAAGCTACTATTTCGGACAACAGTGAGGGAGTCCGAAACGGCCTCTTCACGTCTGAACACATGTATGTAATTACATGAAACACATTTTAGAGGACACATCAGACGATAGCAGTTTTAGCAAGGTAGGATTTGCTGCGTAGAATTTGTTGCCTGTCGTCTTCCTTTGTCGCGCGTTCCCAAATGGTATAGTCCATACAAACAATAAGTCAACTACAAAGAAATACCGATAATGGAAAAAAAAGTTCGGCTTCCGTTTGAAGATGCTTAAAAAAAAAATTCACTAAATATTATGTTTGAATACATCTAAAAAGGAGTCTCTACCAGGAGTATGTTATTATTATGGCCCTGGACGATAGTAATCACAAAGCACATAGAGGTTCCACGTGAATGACCAAGGTCAAAACCGACAACTGACATTTTTTATGCTATTTGCTCCAAACTCTAGATGGGGCTACTGGTGAAATTATGATTTCTTACTCCATTTTTAAGCCTTATGGGAGAAAAACTTAACCAAAGACTCCAAAGATGTGACGTGTATTTATTTATGTTCTTGGTTAGTTTCATTTTTCCGTCTGATTTTAGTGATTTTTTGTTGGCTTTGGCTTTTGGTTTCTGTTTATAGTTTCGTCTTAGTTATTTGCAAAATTGTAATGTTTCGCTTTTTTATTTCCTACTGTGTTTTGCAATAATTTTGGTGCTACGTTGAAAACTTCGAGAAAAACTTCATTGATTCACCATATATTCACCATGCATCTGCATCATAAAAAGACAAACGGGGACAACAACTAATTGATAATCAATTTATCACTGGACTAGATTCCGAAATCATTTTTCACATAAGAGAGTAATACCACCATCTGTATTTGGAAGGAAAATACCTATTTATCATTGAATGAATAGTTAAAAGGATTCACCTTTTAATACAATACCTATATTACATTTGTCCTCAGTTAAAAAGACATTATAAAATATATAACTTTAGTGTTAATAAAATGTAATATCCTAGTCTCTACTTCACATTTAAATTATTGATAGGTATTTTAAAGATTTGAGATTATATATCTATTTGCTCCAAGTAAGTATTCGTTAAATATGTATTATTATTATTTGTATTTATTTTTATCTAATAATATTTATTTAAGTTATTAATAAACATATTTTAAGAATCTTCTATTTTATTATTTATTGATATATCTTATATTTATTTAATAAAAATATGCAGAACCAACTCTCCACATTAGACCCCTGATAACAAATTAATTCTTCAAATTTGGTATAATCGACCTAAATTATTTTGTAAAATAAAAGTTTCGAACTTACTAGTTCCATACTTTATATTTTATAAAATAATTTATGAGGTAATCATTTAAAATTTAATTTAAAACTA